GGGGTCCTCTCCCTTCACCCACATCCCTCAACCTCCCCCTCGGGGGACCTCAGTTCTGTGATCAGATTTCTATGGTTTGTCTGGTTTGCTTCTACCTGTTTCTTTGCTTTCTCTATTTCCCACAAGAGAGTGAAACTATCTGGTATTGGTCTTTCTCCTCTGACTTATTTCACCCAGCACCGCCCCCCTGAAGCCTCCCATGCTGTTGGAAATGGCAAGGTTCCATCTTTTTATAGCTGCGTAGTACTCCACCGTCTTAGCTACTTGGTGTGAGTTGAGCAGCTTGGAGAGCAACATGCTGGCCTCAGAAAGCCCATTCCACTCAAATAGTAAGGATCGAATTTCCAGCACTAAAGGCTCTTCCATCTTGCCAAAGTGCAGCCTTTCATTTTGTTTCTTGTGAAATATAGTAACGATGGAAAGGTGCAACAACTATGGAAAATAGAGTATGCACATAAAATATACACTGCATAGAGCTCATAAATACATATTTATTTTTTAAGTTTTCATAATTTAAATGTTTCCATGTATAAGTATAAATATAGGTTTATATAATCATATAAATGTATATATTATATATAAATGCATAATACTATTTAAATGCATAATACTATTTATTTTTTAAGTATATATGTATATTTAATTTCTCCCTTAGACAAATATCAATATGTGAATCATCAAAATGAAAGACACGAAAAGCAGGGGAAATTGGACTCTGGGGAGAGGAGGCACTTTTCTGGGTGGTGGGCAGTGGTAGGGCTGTCCAGCTGGCCACTGGGCAGCCAGGGAGAAGCCCCCCCCATGCCCAGGCTCGTATGCACTGGGGGGCCAGGTCCCCGGCCAGCGGCTGTGGTGGACGGTCCTTGCAGGCCCAGGACCCCTCGGCACGCTGGGCAGGGAGCTTTGGCAGTAGCGAGGGGCCATCATGGGCCAGGCGGCCTCTATCTGTGGCTCCTCCACACCCTCTGCCTCTGTCAGGCCCAGGTTTGCAGGAAGTACCACGTGGTGCTCAGATGCTGAGGCATCAAAGGGCCCAGCCCTCAGGAGGCTCAGCCCCTGGGGAAGATGGGGCCTTGCCAGGGGAGCCAGAGACCCCAGGACCACGTCCCCTCTATCCTGCAAAAATCTGGAGGAGGAGACACAACAGTGTCTCCAAGGGAAGGGAACAGCAGCCCACAGCCTGGAACAGAGAAGGCAGAGATGCTCTTGAGGAAGTGGAAGGAATCCAGGACTGAAGCCAAAGCTCGGCTGAGAGCCCAGGGCCGGGGCCCAGGTCAGGCCTCGGAGACCTTAGCCTGAGCCACCGTGGGGTGTCCCCTGGCCAGAGAGGGGCTAGGCTGTCTTGCTTTCTTTCTCTTATTCTTTCTGCCTTGCTTTTAAATGTCACTCTGGCTACTCCTGCCAACTGCATTAACTAGCACAAGATGGGCTGTGCAGGCTGGGAGCCCCCAGGCGTTGACGGTAACCTAGCCGAGGGGTGACACTGGGACTGCACTGAGCCCATCTGGGCAACGAATCACTGGAGGGAGATGGAGAAATGATATGGGGGTGAAGACAGCGGTCTGAAGGCAGGTGAAAGCTGCCTGACAGGAGAGACAGCTGAGGGCAGGGAGGGGCCAGCAACTGGGTGTGGCCACGTGATCCCCAGCCACAGGCCTCGGGGATGGGGCCAGGCGGCCAGGGAGGGGTACCTCATCCAGCGAGTGCCCTCCACCAGCGACCTCGGCAAGGAGGGACACAGCAGGGAGTTGGGGGATGCACACTCAGGGCGAGGGGACCCAGAAGCCAATGAACGTGGCAGCCTCTATTTCTAACCTTACGGGGGCACGCTGGCCATGTGGACTTGACGGCAGCTGGGCGGAAATTTTGGATCCCGGACCTGTGGCAGACCCCCTGTCCAGGCTCTCTGCAGGTGCAGGACACACGTGTGTCACCGCAGAGCCCGGGGGTCCTGGCTCAGCCTCTGCCCAGCAGCCACTCTCACCCCTACCCTGGGGCCTCCATTTAACTTTCTTTTTTTTTAAATGGCCCTGCGGCCGTCCAAAGCAGTAATAATCGGGCTGAATCGCTTGAACGAGAAAACTTTCCCCCTCGATGTCACTAGGAGCTGGCAAAGGGGGGGTTTTCAGTACAGGGCCCCCCTGGACAGGGGTGGGTCCCCAGAAGATCAGAGTATCCCCTCCAGGACGGGTGTCAGGGGCATGGACACCTCGTTCTTCCTGACACTTACGAAAAGTCCCCCAATGGTTTGGTTCAGATTATGGACAGGGAGGCTGTGACCCGTCACGTCAAAACAAAGAGGGCCAGAACGCAGGCGGCGTCTCACGGGGTGAGGGGTGGACCTGCTCCCCCATCCCTCCCGCTCCGGGACGGTGAACACGGCACGCCCGTTTCTCACCTGCTAACAGCGAGCTCTCTGGGCTGGGACTGGTGTTCCAAGTGGGAGCCCCGGGCACAATTTTTATAGCTTGAATTATAAACCCCTGAAAATCGAGATTTATAATGGACATTCTGGAAACCCATCGCTGAAAGATCTCTACGACCAAGAGCCTCTGGAATGCCAACTGAACCCTAAAACTTCCTTCCAGAAAAGTTTGCCAATAAGGCGAAATGACAAACGAGCATGCAGATGAAATATTTATGGTGAAATCTTTTCTTCCGGGCTCAGTAGACCCCACACCCTATAAAACCTGGCGGCCGCCAGAGAGGAGGCTGGAAGACAGGACGCCTCTTTGGGGAGGAAAGGGTTATTAAGGGCTGGACTCTAATAATATCATCGTCAACCTATAAAACTTTTACAACCTAGTCTTATTTGCACAGAGATTACATCCCCAAAGCTCAGTGCCAAAGACACATGTTAATAAGCTCACAACTTTTAATTAAGCAATATGCAAAAGTAGATTCCCATTAAGCTGTGATTTGTGGGTTCGTTCATATCGAGACACATACTCAATGCGGGCTGCGTATTACCCGGCTAATGTGAGCTACTGGTGGGGCTGGATTGCCCGTCCGGGACAGGGGGGCGGAGAAAGTGCCTTTCCTCAAAGGCTGGACAGGCGTCTGCCCCTCTGCCCTCCTGACCCGCCACCCTACAATGGCTTAATGAAATGCCTCCCTGGCTGTTTATTTGCATAATGCGGTAATGACTCCTCCCGTTAATTATCAGACATCTGAGTATCTGACAACAGGCTGGAGTGGTGTTGTCTACACCCACAGAGGGTGGCCCTGCTAGTTGGGAGCAAGACTCAGTCCGCCGGCGTCCATGTTTGGGGGCTAAAGGGTGCAATCGAATTAATGGGCTGAGGAGAATTGGTTCGGGAGGCTGGAGCTTTGCTCTCTGTGAGCTCTCCAGGCACGAAAGGGTTCATTCTGCTCAATAAAACCATGGATCAAAGCCGGGGAGACCGTGACCTGGGACAGGGGATGTTCTCACTGCAGGGGAGGGTTCCAGAGAGGGGGCCGCTGGCATAATTGACTTCGGGATAAGGAAAAAGCCATAAACCAGAATCACCACAGCCTTCACCAAAGCAAATGGCGTAGGATGTCCTCGGCAGGAATAGTGGAATGGATCACTTATCAGTCACTCACTTCACTCATGAGGAAGTATATCGGCTCGTGTGCCGGCATTTAGTACATGTAGCTGGTGGCCAGACGGAAAGCTCTTTGCCAAACATCGGGTTCCTATACTTTTGTGCCTGTCTGAAGCTTTCTGTTCAATCGTGTGTCTGTTTCATCTGTGCTGTGAAGCATCTTGACACGACCCTTGCTTATTAAGATGTTGCAAAGGTCTCCTTGGCTCTTCTCTCTCTTCGGTGTACTAACTGGATATGCACGGCATGCTTGCTGCCAAAATACTAGAAAATAAAGATACAGAAGTGTGCAAGTGGTGATCTGACCCCGTGTGCACTTGGACAATGTGACAATGTCAGATTAATGACACCCTCCTGTGTGTGTGTGTGGGGGGGTGCAAACTATGCTGCTACATCCCATAAGTTTTTTATGTTATTTTCCCATTTTCATTTGTTTTAAGACTTTCAAATTTCCCCTGCAACCCTTCCATGTTTAACTTCCTCATATTCGTGATTTCTTCAGTGTTCCAATGGGAATGCTGATTTTTAGTTTCGTGCTATCATGGTTGGGAGAGACACTTGATTTCAGTCTCCTGAAATTTGCTAGGACTTGTTTTGTCACTCAACACCATGATGAACCCTAAAAACTGTGCTTGATTAGAAAATGTATTCTGTTTCTGTCCGATGAATTTTCTGCATATGTCTGTTATATTATCTGATCCAAACTGTAGTGATTTCTGTCTGGATAATCTCCCCATTGTGGTAGGTGGGGTACTGAGGTCCCCTGATACCATTGTTTTGTGTTTTTTTTTTAAAGATTTATTTATGCAAGCATGGGTGCAGTCAGAGCGCGGGAGGGTGAGAGAATTCACCAGAGCCAGAGTGGGGAACAGAACAGGCAGACTGATGAAGTACACTGCTGAGGGGAGCAGCGGGCGTGGCAGGAGAGGTCTGTGCGCCATGTGGGACCCTCGCCGGCGGCCGGGGATCGAACCAGCGTTGCAGAGGCTGCGGGCAGCTTTGCAACCCAACGCTCAACTGCTGAGCCACCAAGGAGGCCCTCTCCTGATATCATTGTATTATGTCTCTTTCTCCCTTCACATCTGCTTGTATTGGCTTAATAGTGCATCGTGCTGATGTGGAGCGCATAATATTTCTCTTTGCAATCACCTCTAGATGAATTGACCTCTGTCATTGTACTATGACCTTCTTTGTCTCTCATGACAAGTTTTTTATTGAAGTCTTATTTTCTCTGACATAAATATATTTACCCCAGCATTGAGAATGGGTCAAAGTGGGATCAGAGAAATCAGTAAGGATATTACTGCATAAGTTCAAGAGAGCAATAATGATGGCTCAGATTGGGATTGTGGCAAAGAACTAGGTGGTGGATCATGAGATTCTAGGTTTATGATCAAAGTAAATCAAATAGGGTTTCTGAATGGCTGATGTGGAGTCAGGAAATGTTGGTCAAGGGGGCACAGTTCCTTGTGTCTAAGCCATCCTCCCGGGGTGCCCACCACCTCCTGGGGTGCACATCCACCTCCTGACCCTGTGAGTGACATCTTGTGTCTTCCTGGAAACTTTAAAAGTCCATCCCATGGCCCAAGCTCCTCTCCCCTCTGATCTCACAATAGGCAGTAGATTCTAGAGATTCTCTTAATCAGCCTGCTCGAAGCCAGGAGGTGGGTGACAGTGATGCAATATTGTGCAAAGGAGTAAACCGGACACAAGCTTTACTAAGTTCAGTGGACTAAGGAAGCAGCTGTGGAGATGGATGTGCAGAGGCACAAGACATGAACTTCCCCTTTCAGACCAGTTCAGTGTTGCCGGCAATAAGGCAGGAGGTGCTGTGACATCAAATAAGCTTCTATTCCATGATCTAGAAATATCTCAGTGTCTGCAAGAACAATAAGAAATCAGAAACAATCAAACACGTAGCCTGGTGAGAAAAGTGAAGTCAGTCAAAAATGCTGATTTACAATTTTTCTATTTAACTTCTGAAGCCGCATCCAGGTAATATCTTGACTACAACCCAAAGGCTCTTATCTAAATTCTATGACTCAGGAAAAACAAAGAATTGATGACTGAAGTGAAATTTCTAATAAATTTCAAAATAAATAGTTCAACATTTCAAATAAATATTGTAAATTTTCTATCTCTGATATAGTAAAGACTATTAATGAGGGTGATAATACTGAATCATAGTTCTTAGAACTGTTTTTTTTAATTAAAAAAAATGAAAAACATCCTGTTCTAATAAAATTCGACAATGTCTGAAATTTGTCTCAAAATAACGTAGTGGACAGTAAGCAATGGAGAGGAGAGACGAAGTGGTGCTATAAATGAAACGAGATTGGCTATATCTTCACTGCTCCCGAAGACAGGTGAGCATTCACTGTACTATTTAGTGATTAAATTTTTCCACAATAAATATACACATACAGTCAAAAAATATATAAGCTTCTATTCCAGAATCTGGAAAGATGGGAGAATAGGATATTACTAGTCTATGTTGGATACTACTGGCCGCGCTGGAGATGCCCTGGAAAGAATTCTCTGATTCGTGAGCAGAACTGGAAGGGAGAAAGGGCGTGGGGAATCTGGAGATTTGTCAGGTTGCAAGAGGTATGTGCTTTCGCCACCTACCAAATCAAGCAAACTTGAGAACACTTTTGGGCAAAGCGAACCTTTTGGCAAGGACCAAATGAATGATGAGTCCCCACTCCCATTTTCACTACCTCTGGGTGAGACTAAGTTCACTTAGCAAAACATGGCTCGGGAAAATATGGATCCACCCAATACTTAAGCTCAGGCACCTGCAATGAAGTCATGTTTCAGAAGGCTCGCCACATGAAGCGACTGGAATCAAGTTAAATAAAAGCTGCCTAGACGCTCCAGACTGTCGTGTTGCCAGAGAGAGCCACAAGCTTGAACTACAAGAGCCTGTGATTGCTTGAGATTTAGCATAACCCCTGAGGCCCCTAAGATCAGGATGCAGTTTGACAAAGCTGTTCGGTCTCGGGGAAGGCACAGTGCTAAGCAGGTCAGATGCAGCCAAAGAAGACGATGTTGGGGGGAGCAGCTCCCAGAAGGTGGGGTGAACAACCGCCAAGGACAATAAGCTGGAGGACCTTCCCCATGGAGCAGAATTAAAGCCTAATCAATCCTTATTTCCCACAACCAATGGCATAGAACTTTCTAGATGCCGGCAGGGCTCCGAAGGGCTCTGGAATCATGGTTGTCAGCTTCTTCTGAATAGAAGCATCTCCTGTGACTCTGCTCCACCACCATGGACAGAGTGTGGGGTTATGTCACAACTTCGCTGCTGTGTTTATCGGCTCAACCAAGGAGAGCTGCCCTCACATCTCACATAGAAACGACTCGCATTAGCTCTCCCTACTGTGCATCATCGTAGAGCGAGAACTAAGGCGGTTTGCCTTTGAGAGGAACGAGTGTGCTTTGCGTGCACAAAGGTGAGCTAACCAAACCTCTAGCTAAAGGCAGTTCACACCAATGATTGGCTGCTGTGCTCATTTAGCTGATTCCAAGGTTTATGGGTTTCTCTTTGGCTATGGAAGATTATACGTCTCCACCCAACCGCAGAGTAATCAGGTGATTGCCTTTGACCAACAATATGGAAATAAGACCTGCACAACATCAGGCATCTTTCCTCTCTGCCATAATTAGCGGGAACTTCCATATCCCGGGGGTTCTCCATCAGCCTGGGTCCCGAAGGAGGATGACAGTGATGGAGAGCGAATCCTCAATCCCCAGCCCAGACAACTCCAAGTGCACCTGTGGCCTGCCCTGCGGCCTTTGCCGTTGTAAGTCACTGAGCTCTGGGTGCTGCTTGTTATTGCACGATGAGTCACACATACAGACTAAGACTGAGTCGAGGATAACTCAAAAACCTTTGCTGGGCCAAGCAAAGACGACTGTTCCCATCCACTGAGATGCCTGAGGAGGTGGAGAACCAGGTCTAGAGACCAAAGCGCAGGTGAGGGCTGGAACAGGTTGAGCGTGAGGTGTTCATTCGAGTGCGGATAATGAACACACACGTGGACGAAGTCTGGTGTTTGCAAGAGGGAACTGAGCTATCCGTATCGATTTGGGAATGAACTGGTTTAGTAATGCGATCCCTAGTGCTTGGAGAGAGCAAACAAGACTGAAGAGGCACAGAAGAGGCTACAGTGAAGATTAAAGAACTACAACCACAGGTGGAGGAAGAAATCCATGAGGATGGTGACCTGTCAGCGGTCCCTGCTGGTCTTAGGGGGCAGTTTCATAAGGACAGATGTGGAGTCACGGCTAGAAGGGGCTTCAGCAAGCACAGGGGAGAGGAATTAGAAACAGCGCAGACAGGAGACTCTTCCAACGAGGCTGGCCCTAAAGGGCCGTGAGGGACGAGGCTGTAGCAGCTGTGGAGATCAGGGTCAAGGGAAGTGATTTTTTTTCCCAAGAGGAGAAATCAAAGCAGATTTGTGTTGTCAAATAAAGAGTTAAATGCTAATGGAGCCCAAGCTCACATCCTGCTCAAGGGTGAAAAACTGGAAGATTTTCCTCTCAAATCAGGAGCAAGACAAGGAGGCCTTTTACTCAATGCCGGGGAAGGGAGAAAAGCTATCGAAGTTGGAAAGGAGGAAGTAAAACCGCTCCTCTTTGCAGATGACCTGAAATTATATGGAGAACAGAATCCCTCTTCCACCAAAAACTGTTAGAACTAACACATAAATTCAGTAAAATTGCAGGATACAAAATCCAGACATCAAAATATCTTGAGTTTCTAAAACTAACAAGGACCCCTCAGAAAGAGGAAAAGAAAACAATCCCGGTCCACAGTGTCACCAAAAAGAATAAAAATACAGAGGAACAAATTTAACTAAGGAGGTCAGTGTCCCCAGAAAACATGGAGACATCAACGAGGAAAACTGAGTGTCAAAAATAGGTTTTCTTGTGGGCAACAAAACTTCTTCACCTTTGAATTTATCTGCTCTGCCCTCCCCGGCCCTCCCCTTATTGTCTCTAAGAGAGAAAGCAGCCCAAAGCACTGCATGCAGAAAAATAATATGAATGTGGATGAAGGAGAAGAGGAAGCAGATGTCCCCTCTCAGCGGCAGCACTCTGCTCAGATCCAGAGCGGCTGTGGCTCTGAACCGCCACACTTTGCGGGTTCTCCAAAGAATCTCAAACCCAATTATAACAATCGCCAAGTCTTTAAAAATAATTCCCAGTTGTAAGCCTTCTCATTTGGAGTTGTGATTTCCCATCCCTAGAGGTATTTAATATTAAGTTAGATGCCCAAATGGAAGTAATGCAATAGAAGGAATTTGTGCTTCCCACAGGGATCAGATGAAAGCGTGTGTGTGTGTGTGTGTGTGTGTGTGTGTGTGTGTGTGTGTGTGTGTGTGAGAGAGAGAGAGAGAGAGAGAGAGAGAGAGAGAGAGAGAGAATTCTTAGTGGCTAAGTTATTTAGAAAAGGCAGCATGGAGACATCTTGCATTAGCACGTATGAAATGGAGGTGGATTTTCCCCTGCTTACCCCAGTTGATTTATTTAATAAAACCGAGGACCAACGAAGACTTGGTCCTTTATTCCTAGTTCTTCCTTGCAGCTTCCAATAGAATGATCTCGTGCTGTGACTGTTGAAGTGATAAGTAATTTGCTTTTAATGCTGGCACTTAGCACCATATTTAACTGAAGGATGAAAATCACTCATTTTTCATCCACTTGCTTAACTGACACGTAGTGTAATCTATCCATTGTCATGAGCTTCATACAAGGAACATTTAATAGACCTCACTCTTAAATTTACAGCAAGCATTTAAATTTTTAATTCCTCCCTATTTATATTTTTATTCCTTAATAGAATTTAATTTCAAACGGATAATCTATTTAGGCAATAAGAACACAGTAGGTAACTAGCAAACATGGTCTACTGAAAGGATTTTTTTAATTTAGAGTTTTCAATTATAATCATATTTTGTCTTGAGTGCTAGCTCTATATGAGATAAAATATGAGTGTGAGTGACACAATTTAGTCACTAGAATGCTAGAAATGAAGTTACCAATGAAATCACAGAATGTTCTGTATGGTTTGTAGATAAAGCAAAGCTTGTGTTACTGATACCTCCTTGGAAAGTGTTAGCATTAGGAGTTATTCTCTGAATACTGGGAATAACTGTTGTCTGGATGGATGGATGGATGGATGGATGGATAGATGGATGGATGGACAGACGGATGGACACCTAGGTAATAGAAAAACAGATTGACAGACAGATAGATGATAGAAATATAGAAAGGCAGACAGATGATAGATGGATAGAGACAGACAGAGCATAAGTAATAGATAGGTAAGTAGATAGGTAGATAGACAGACAGATTTCCCCAGAAATCTACTTTGAATTCTGCAGTAACAATGCACAGTGTGTAAGTGTGTAGCTGTGTGCACACTGCTAAGGGCCACCCAAGAAATTACCGTTTGCATTTAATAAAGGTTCATGTAAATGAGAGGAATCGATAAGAAGAAAATGGTCCTTTTTCTTCTCTGTTTTCCTATTGAGAATCTAATCATGCATGAACATCAGAGTCTTAATTAAGGAGGTTCTTCCAAGAATGATGTAGCAGCAAGACCGTAGCCACGCTAAGAGGGCTCCAAACTTTATTCCAACATTGTCCTGACTTGTAACACTGAGCCCAGGGACACTGCAAAGGTCCTTTTCAACAAGTAAGGGATCCTGGAAAAGGCAGGAAAATCACACTCTGCTCATGACCAGTTCGGCCAGTGTTAAAGTGTAGACGGACTCCTACGTTGAGGCTGTTATTTTAAAACTACACTCAGTAAGATAAGTTCAATGGCAGGAAAAACCAGCTCAAAACAAGAGCAACAGGACACCCTATAGATTTGTGTTTTGAAACACTGAACAACCGCTCTGTAGCCATGGAGTCGGACACTATTGGATTAGAAAATTCAGCAGAGCCGGGGCGTGCTTCGGGGGCAGGAACCATTGCTTCTCAGAACTCTGCCCACCTTGCCACGGGATCACAAACTCCTATAGGAAGCACAGAAAAGGAAAAGTGTCCATTGATTGCTGATTTCCTGCCATCTAGCAACTCAGATATAAAGCTAAGCGTGGCCCAGTAGTGTCTTCTTTCATCCCAGAAAAATTTACTGAACATTTACTCATTCAAAACACTGTCTTGAGGACTGGGGAGAAGACGGTAAATAAAGCAAACAGTGTTCCCTGCCTTTACCGAGCTTACAGTCTAGTGACAAAAGTATGAAAGTAGCAAACTGACGGAATCATGAATACCTTGATTAATTCAGAAGACAAGTGACAGGTCAGTGGAAAATTTACCATATCACTTATTTAACTAAATTTGATGGATCAACTTGACCTAATAATCTCATGAAATGCAGCCAAAGATCCAGAAGTCTGCCTACCTGTATACATTTATTCCTATTTGGTATATTTTGTGATGAGACAAATCCATCGCAGATTTGTTTTATTGTATCTGGACCCACTTGTTTGGGGGGAAGCGTCTTTCTTTATACTGTTAATAAGGAGACTATAAATACCCAGCCCTGATCCCCCCCACCACCACCTCTCTTCCACACAGTCTTTTCCATAGCGAATATTTTTAAGCCCCTGGAGAGTGCACAGCACTGGTTTAAGTTCTGTTAAGAGGCAGTTACACTTGAAAAATCCTTTGTCCACAGGTAACTCATGCTCTATATCATTAGAATACAAAGCTGCTAAGTACATAATTAGAATATAAAGTATGTAATTAAAATACAGGGCTGTTACGTGATCGTGGAGACTGGAGTGATGAGTAATTATACCTGCAAGAGTGGGCAGGCGTGAAGACAGAGCAGCAAGAGTGGCATTAAGCACCATCTCAAAGGAGAGTCCAGTTGCCCGAGGTGTGGTAATTCAACCATTATAACAAGTTTAGACTGTTTATTAATTTCTGCAAAGCTGAGATCTGTCTACAGAGATATTAATATATATTGATGTGTCTTCAATAATAGTCATCGAAGATGAAAAATACAGACAGTATGTACATATGCTAACTTCTGCTGATAGAGGGAAATCGGTGCAATCTTAGCGCAAATATCTTAAGCTGACTGCAGACGGAACAGAAAATGATTGAAGCTGGGGCTGAAGAATTACCAGGGTGGATTGTGTTCACATGTTTCCTGATTAGGGATCAGCTTTGACTTCTGTAATAAAACTGCTTTCCATTTAAGAGAAGAGGCTAAATAACCTTCCAGTGAAGAGGGAGGTCAGGGGGTGCAGACACCCACTATCCACTATATTTACCACTCATACTGAGAAGAAAGGTTCTTAATAGTGCAGAAATTTTTACAACCCATGGCTCTCTGCTGGCTCATTATCCATATGTGATCGTCAATTCAACTCCAAATCCTCAGTTGAAAGAGAGGAAAGCCAAACAGTAAAAGGAAAATACAAGAAGTGCAATTGGGAGGGGTGTGCTCCTTTCATCCTTTAAGAGAGAATTGAGATGTTTGCAAAGATCCCAAATCTTAACCAATCAGTTTTGGGTTGGTTGCTTAGAATATGGAACATGTGCTCCACTGGAAAAATTGCAAATATGTGGAGACTAAACACCATGCTCTCGAGTAACTATTGGGTCAGTGAGGAAATCAAGGAAGAAATAAAATAAAACACCTGGAGACAACTAATTTTAAAGTCATGAGCTATAAGACCCAATATATTGGGTACTGGAGAAGCAGTAGGGAGTGGTAGGGGTGTAACATTACAGGCCCATGTCAAGAATCAAGGGAAAATCTCAAATAAATAATCTAACCTTACACTTAAAGGAATTAGAAAAAGAAGAACAAACCCAAAAGTCAGTAGAATGAAGGACATAATAAAAATTAAAGAAGAAATCAACAAAGTAGAAATCAAAAGGAACAATGTAAAAGATCGATGAAACCAAGAGCTAATTCTTTGAAAAGATAAAATTAATAAATATTTAGAAGGCTCACTAAGGGGATAAAAGAAAGCAAGAATAATAGTGAATAAAATTGGAGATGAAAGAGGAGAAGCTACAATAAATGTCATAGAAATAGAAAAGATCATAAACTACTTCTGTGAACATTTATATGTCAACAAACTGGGCAATCTAAAAACCGCAGTTTCTTAAAACTATACACTTCCAACACTGAATCAGAAAGAAACAGAAAACCTGGAAAGACTTATCAACAGAATTATTAAAATGGTCATCAAAAGTATCCCCCCAAACAAAGCCCAGGAGCAAAAATGGCTTCACTAGAGAATTCTGCCAATCTTTCAAAGATGATCTAATACCTACCTGCCCTTCTCGAACACACCCAAAAATCGAAAGAGGGAGTGGTTCCAAACACATTTTATAAAACTGATACTACCCTGCTACCAAAGGCAGGCAAGAATATCATACACACATACACACACATACACACAAATACACACATACACACACATACACATACACACAATGACACACCAACATCCCTCATAAGTATAGATGCACAAATCTTCAACAAAATCTTAGCAAATCAAATTAATGTTTTCAACAATGTATTAAAAGGATCATACATCATGACCAAGTGAAATTTATTCCAGGTACAAGGATAGTTGAATACACACTAATCAATTAATGCGATACATCACTCTAACAACACAAAGGATAAAATTCATATTAGCATTTCAATAGATGCAGAAAAACTATAACAAAATTCAACATTCATTGATGATAAAATTTCTCAAACAAATGGGAATAGAAGGAATATACATCTTCAAAATAAGTGCCAGGTAAGACATACCCACAACTAATATCACACTGAGTGGTGAAAAGCTGAAAGTTTTCCTCTAAGATCCAGAAGAAGAAAAGGATGCCCACTCTTGTGGCTATCATTAAATATAGTCTCAGAAGTACAAGCCCGAGCAATTAGGCAAGAAAATGAAATACAGGGAATAGGGCAAATTCCACTGACACTCCAGACAATGAAACGACTAAGTTATCTAATCAGACATTTGTAAGAATTTGACTGAACGCACTAGCCACACAAGGAAAAATAAAGAAACATCACAAATTGGAAAAAAAAGAAAATGAAATGCAATCTATCCAATTTGAAAGGAAAGAAGAAAACCATCACCATCACATTTACAGATGTTATGATAATATTCACAGGAAACCCCAAAGACTCCACTAAAAAAGCTGTCAGAAACAGAGGCTAAGTACCATAAAGTGGCAGTCTACAAGATTAACATAGAAATCTATTGTGTTTTTAAGGTGCAATCAATGAACTAGAAGAATGAGGAATTACAGAAACAATCCCATTTACAATCACATCATACAGAATAAAATGCCTAGGAATAAACTTATTAAAGTAGATGAAAGTTCTGTATAGTAAAAACTATAGGATATTGTTAAAGAAATAGAAGACACAAAGAAACAGAAAGGAATTCTGTGTTCTTGAATTAAATTTAATGTTGCTAAAATGCTCATTTTACCCAAAGCATTCTACAGACCCAATGCAATCCTTATCAAAGTTTCAATGGTATTTTTCACAGAAATAGAAGAAGCAATATTACAATTTGTATGAAACAAAAAAAGACCCAGAATAGCTGAAGTAATCCTGAGAATAAGTACAAAAATGGAGGTATCATGCTCCCTGATTTGAACTATACTACAAAGCTGTAATAATCCAATCAGGATGGTATTAGAATAAAAATAGACATGTAGATCAATGATTCAGAAATGACAGCCCAGAAACAAACACACACGTGTATAGGTGGTCAATTTATGACAACAGAACCAAGAACATACAATGGAGAAAGGGAAGTCTCTTCAATAAATGGTGTTGGGAAAACTGGTTAAGTACATTGTATGTGGCAGCAGGTGGGAGACACAGGCAGACTCAGTCTTCCCACCAGCCTTGAACACAAGGAAAGAGCTGGAAGAAATGAATAAAGCACAGGGGCCCCTTCCTAGCAGAAGTGCTCACAACCAGCAATCAGTTCAATATTTGATTAGAGGGAAAATACCTTTAAATCTCGATGGACATTTTCCTTCCTCTTGATTTAACCCCGGAGGACTCTTCTGGTGTCCTGTTCATCTCCTCAATGTGGTCCTGGAGAGCAGTGAGCACGTCACTGTGGATAAAACTCAAGCCTCTGACATCACCAAATACCTGAAAAGTGGTGACAAAATGGCATCTATTAGCTACCATGCTTCAGTGAAATATTTAGATGGAATGAACAAGAGCATGATTTTTCCCTTTATTGTCCTTTAAAAATATTAAAACTTGGGAACAAACCTGAGGTGACCTTTCACCAAAAGAGGTGAAAGACCTATAAAAAGAAAATTATAAAACACCGTTTAAAGAAATAGAGGAAGACACAAGAAATGGAAAGACACCCCCTGCTCATGGATTGGAAGAATTAACATTATTAACATGTCCATCCTACCAAAGCAACACTATTACAATAAAAATCGCAATGACATTCTTCAAAGAAATAGAACAAATACTGATGAAATTCATATGGAACCACACACACACACACAAAACAAGAATAGCCAAAGCCCTACTGATGAAAACAAAGGAGAAAGGAAGTATCATACTTCCAAACTTCAAGCTATACTGCAAAGCCATAATAATTAAAACAGTTTAGCACTGGAACAAAAACAGACACAGACCAATGGAACTGAATAGAGAGCCCAGAAATAAAGCCACACTTATGTGAACAACTGATCTTTGACAAAGGAGCAAAGAATATGCAATGAAACATGGACAGTTTGTTCAATAAATGGTGCTGGGAAACTGGACTCCACATGCAAAAAAATGAAACTAGACCACTACCTCTCACTGTGCACAAAAATCAACTCAAAATGGATAAGAGAACTGAACATAAGACATGAAACCATAAAATATATGAAGAAAATACAGGTAAAACCCTACAAGACATACATCTCAGAAACATCTTTAAAGACTCTCACCCAAGCCAAGAAAGTCAAAGAAAAGATAAACACCAAACTGAAAAGATGACATCAAACTGAAAAGTTTCTGCACAGCAAAGAGACATTAACCAAAACAGAGAGACACCCCACTGATTGGGTAAAAAATCTTTGCACCCCAGTCAACTGATAAGGGACTGATCACAAAGATATACAAAGAACTCACAGGACTCAACCAAAATAAACAGTCCAGTCAAAAAACAGGCAGATGAACTTAAAAGACATTTCTCCAAAGAGGAAATGCAAATGGCCAACAGGCACAGGAAAAAATGTTCAATATCACTTGTAATCAGGAAATGCAAATCAACACCACATCGAGATACCACCTTACACCAGTGAGAATGGCACATATCAAAAAAACTAGCAGTAGCAAATGTCGGCGAGGATGTAGAGAAAAAGGAACTCTCCTGCACTGCTGGCGGGGGTGCAAACTGGTCCAACCACTGTGGAGAGCTGTCTGGAGGCTCCTCAGTCTACTAAAAATGGAGCTACCATACGCTCCGGCAATTCCACTCCTAGGGATCTACCCAAAGGGCACAGAAACATTGATTCAAAAGAACACCTGTACCCCTGTGCTTATTGCAGCACTGTTTACAATAGGCAAAACCTGGAAACAACCCAGATGCCCCAAAATAGATGACTGGATCAAGAAGATGTGGCACATATACACCATGGAATATTACTCAGCATTCAAAAAAGATAAACTCATGCCATTCACAGCAACGTGGATGGAACTAGAAGGAATTATGCTCAGTGAAATAAGCCAGAAGGAAAAAGAAAAATACCGAGTGGGTTCACTTATAGCAGGAATTTAGGGGAACCAAATTAGACATCAGTGTAAAATAATAATAACGGTACAAAACACAACAGAGCAAAAGCAGACAATCATCAATCAGAGACACAGTGCAGGGGAGGAGGCGGGAGAGAGACCAGAGGGAGGGAGGGAGGAGCCCAGGGACTGGGGTGATGGTGCACAGGTGTCTTGGGGAGGGAAACTCTGTGGGGACAACACCTGAGGGGGCGGGGGGAGCAAACATTGTTTAAAAATGAACAATGATGTGAAAAAAAAATTTAAAAATAATTTTAAAAAATAAATATGTACCTATTTAAAAAAATAAGTAAAACAAAGTTTAAAAAAATGAAAATATTAAAGCTTTGAAATCCCCAAAAATGCCTTGTGGTTCACCTGATCCCTCATGTGACATGTGAGCAGAAGTTAACAATTTAGGTTTTATGGCTTGGTTGCATGTTGACCTAAAAATCTCATGCGTGCCCCCAGTGCCCGGGAAGTGTGTCTAATATCTAGTCATCTGGCACCAGGGCAGCCCCGCCTTCAGGATGGACTCGCTGTCCCCGGAGGGCCAGTCCCTGGACACGAGGCCGGTTATCTTTGGCACAACCAGCGACCAGAGCCGCCGGCTCCTCCCGTCTTGGTGTGGGTTTGCTCCTGGGCTGTGTGTGGCCGTCCCCAGCCTCGCCGGTGCCCAGCGGGCTCTGTGCGGGGGGCGGGCGGCGCCCCGGGCCTGCTGACGAAGGCTGCGCTGGCCAGGAGCTCGCGTCCTGCGGGACAGCCTCGTCGGGGAGCCAAGCAGCTCTGCCCGGCGCACTCGCCCTGCTTCTGTCTGCACGAGCCGTCCCCCCTTCTGGAAGCTTTTCCCTCTCCACGGGGCTGCCAGGGAGCTAGCTGGCCGGTCGGAGAGCCGTGCTCTCCCCAAGGTGGGCAGAGGCCACAGAAGGTCAGAGAAAGAAAGTCTCCTCCTGGGGCAGCAAGGGCAGCACATTGGGACCCGGGAGCTGGGCTCCCGCGGGGCAAGACATACCCCAGGATGAAGCCCACGGAGAGGAGAACTGGAGAGAGACAGAGAGAGACAGAGAGATGGGGACAGAGAGACAGAGACAGACAGACAGAGAGACAGAGACAGGGCCAGAGAGACAGGCACAGGGAGACAGAGAGACAGAGAGGAGGAGGGCGTGAGGGGGAGGGAGACTGATAAATCACAGCAGCGCTGGCTCCTCTGAACCCGGGCTCGCGGGGGTCGGCAGCCTAATCCAAAGGCTGTGGCGCACACCCCGATATCCCAGGCCTTGTGACACACTCCGGTCTGTCTGGAAATGGGGTGTTTCTGTGTATGGTGACGCGTCGGAACCGGGGGGAGTGGATGAAATGGGTCAAAGCTGTTTTCAGAGAGTGCTGCGAGGACCCTTGAGCATCCCCGAGGCTCGGGAGCTCAGAGCGTCCGACCAGTTCCCCGGCAGTATTAGGCCGGCTCCTTTCGCACCACCCAGACAGCAGGCAGGACGGCCCGTGGCAACCCCGGGGGTGGCGGGACAGGACCCGTGGCCCGGGCAGGCCGCGCCCACGGCGCTGGGGAGGAAGGACTCGGCACTTGGAGAAGGAAGGGCCAGCGGGACGGCCCGGGCGGGTGTCAGAGGCCGGGCGTTGAGGGCCGGGGTGTCCGGAGCTGGGGGCAGGAAATCTCAGGCCTGGGGTGACTGGGCCACGAGTTGGGGCCCGGGGTGTCTGGATAGGGGGCGGGGGCCGCGGTGGTGGCCAGGTCACCACGCGTTCAGAAAATGACCCTCCAGGCCCGCAGCCGTCCTGGTTCGTGGCAGCCGCTCTACCAGCCCGTGAACTCTTCCGTCCCGGAGAGGAGACAGCTGAACATCGCTGCCCAAAGAGCAGCTGTCACCTCGCATCTGAAGTCTACTCTGTTTACCGGCTCTGTTTTATATCCTTTAGAAAATGACACAGAATGGCAATAAAATCATCCTAAGTATTCTACAGGGGCCGGCAATGCCCCTTGGTTGCGGCGCGCCTCTCTTTATACATAATTCCAGCTGATTCTGCCTGGAATTATGTTAAATATGTAAAAAGCCTTTTGTCATAAAGGTAAATGCTGGATGGTTCCAGGTGCTGATTTAGCATCAGTGTCAGGATCGCTTCCACCGTCCGCCTCCCGCAGCGCGGGCCCTGAGCGCTTGCCAGGCTGGGCGGGGAGCGGCCTCGGGTGAGGGCTGGGGGGCAGGGGCATTGGGGGGGCCAGCACCTGCCTTGTTCCGGCACGTCGTCATGAAGCAATCGTGGGAAAATGAGCCCGTTACGCTAAAAAGGAGAGATGAAGACTGACTTCCCCACCTACGGGTTCCCAGACGCATGTTAGCACAGTTGCACCAGAATATCTGCCTCATATTTCTGTATACGCGTATAAAGATACAAATATGAAAAAAAAAATACTTATCTCTAGGATTTGCGGCCCCTAGCCTGCTTTTTCACGAGCGAAGGGAATCCATAGCAAGCAGCCTTGTCAAACGGAGTGGAGATAAACTCCCTGAAGCGAGCAGTGAGGGTTCTGGAAAGGCTCGTCCACGCCCCCACATTTGGATGCGGGAATTGAAACCATATTTATAATTCAAAACTCAAAAAGCTTCCAAGCTAATAAATAGACAAGCATAAAAATATTTCTTCACCTGTAGAACATCCCTTAAGATACGGTTTTCAAAATCCAGCTCAATGAGAGAGAAAAATAGACCAAAATCGAAGTGAACCTATTTCCATGAAAGGTGAGACCTTCGGGCTTCATCCAGCGCGCAGTGAAGAGCGTCCAGTCCCCCGGGGATGTTCCTGGGAGGCCTTTAGCTGTCCTTATTAGTAAATATTCCACGATTTGTTTTTAAACTGTTTTCTCTGCACTTCACAAACCTTCTAAGGCATTGCCTGGTTCAGAGTCCCAGAAAAAAAATGCTCTGCAGGCAGAAGGACCGAAGCACACTGCTGAGGGGAGCAGCGGGCGGCAGGAGAGGTCTGCGCGCCATGTGGGACCCTCACCCGTGAGGCCGGGGATCGAACCGGCGCTGCAGAAGCCGCAGGCAGCTTTGCAACCCAGCGCTCAACCGCTGCGCCACCGGGGAGGCCCTGCCAACCATTATTTTATATATAAGAATTTCCCCCAAAATCGAGCTGATCATGTCTTCACTTAAATACACAAATAACATCTAGGAGACCCATAAAGAATAGGAATTAATAATGAAAGATCATCTCAAGTCACAAGCGCGAATGAAGTATGGAGAAATTTAATATTTTGTGAGATTGGACAAAAGGAATTATTTGGGGAAAGACTCCTAGAATCCGTAAAACATGTTTAAAATGTTTTCTAAAATGTTTCTAAAACTCACATC